TCTCCCCTGGCGCGTTTACCGTCTCTAGGGCAGCGCCGAGTGCCCGGGGCTCCGCGGGGCTGCAGCCGGGACCGGCGCTTTGCTGGCCTCGGGACCGCCGGCGCTGTGGGTTTGCTTCTGCGGCGTGCCGGGAGGACGCGGTGCTCGCCAGGCCTCCGCGGCCAGGGCCGTGCTGGACTCGGTTGTCCGAAGTGGGCAGGAGCGGGGCTGATGCTCTGTCACGGCGTGGCCGTGACCCCCCGCCTCTCCGGAGCGGCAGTGGCCCTTGTGACGGCCAGAACAGGCAGATGTCTGGGGTGGTTCTTGTTTCACTGCTGTGCTTTGGGGAACGCGTTTTAGCTTGTGGAGAGCATGCCTTGGAATCTCTGCCTTATGGTGGGTATGGGATTGCATGTTTTGGAGAGGATGCCCGTTGGAGGGAAGGTGGCTCCAACCTCCATCTGTTTTTCTTTCTCAGGTCATGTAGAAGAGCAGATTTAATGTGAAGATGGGACTCCTGGTGTTTATGCGTAACCTGCTGCTAGCCCTCTGCCTCTTTCTGGTACTGGGATTTCTGTACTATTCTGCTTGGAAGTTGCACCTTCTCCGTTGGGAGGATTCAAGTAAGTGGGAGAACGGTGCAACTGTTTCTGGGCTTCCTAAAACGTCTGTTAAATAGTTGCAATCGCGGCGAGATGGTTCTGATTTATTTGTATTAAAGGGATGTGATTAAGCCCACTCAAATGCTAGAGCTCTTAGTATGCTTAAGGGGTCGAATTTGTGACTACCTAATGCTCTTTATGGCTTTACTTTTATTACTGGGTACAAGAGCAGGTTCATGCTTTATAAATCTAGTATTAGAGGTCTCAGTTCTTGGAATATTCTGCTAGTTAATGATTCCTAATTGTCAGAATAAAGAATTTGTATGATCAGGTTTTTGTTTTCTGAATCCTCTGTGCATTTTAAAATATCTAAGACAAATTTTGTTTTTCCCCTCTGGTGAATTTTGATTTCTTTCTGTAATCGTATATGCTGGTTATCTCATCATCTTACTTTGTCCTTCAGAAATCCTCATCTTCCATTTATCTTCCATGTCGTTATCTGCCAACTATCTGTCATCTAAAGGATGTCTCCCAACCTTTTTAAGTCTGAAGAGATATCTGACCTCACTGAATACAATCTGAGGATTGTACTGTGCAGTAAGGCCATAGAAGGTTACAGTTGCAGTGAGACAGAAATTAAGCTGAACTTTGATTTCTCTTGGTTTTGTTTGTGTTGATTTTTGCCTGCATGTAAGAACTATTTATTGAAAATATAAGAACAAGAAAACAATTCCCTTCTTTACCCTACTGCCCAAAACACAAGCCAGCTTTCCTTGCAGCTGTTCCACAGGCTGTTTGAAATGTCTCAGAGCTGACTGTTGCTCCCTGGAACAGCAGCTGAGAAACACTGATCCAGAACTGACAAGAAGCCCCTGGTCAAATTTCTTCTTTGCTGTATTGCATTTTTGTGGATGCTGATAGAGATTTCTGCTCCAATGCATCTTAAACTTAGCATTTTTCTACTTTTACATGCTCCAAATCTGTTGTTATGCGCTCCTAAGAAGTTTTGCATGATGACTTGGATATGACACTTGTGCACTGATTTTGACAGGACAACTACTAAGGGGCCTTTGACTAGAACAGGTATTGTAAGACTAAATTTGTAGAAGGAGATGTATAGGGTTTTTCTCAGCAGGGATTTTTTCTTCAGGTTTGTGCTTCAGAGAGGGAGTTAAAAATTTTATGAGCTTCTGAAAAATAGCACTTTTGTTGACTAGGTATAGAAAATACTTCCTGTTTGAAAAGAAATACAGTTGTGGTTAAAAGAACAGTTTTGCCATATCTGCATGAATGTAACAAGGTGATCTGTTATGAAATGATACCACCTACTATCCTTTACTTCCTTTACACCACCAGGAAATCATGTTGGACTTCCCAAGGCCTGCAAAAAAACCTTTCATGCCACAACTTGTGTGTGATCTTTGTTACAAATGAAGAAGCAGCTATGTGTTTATGTGCTATGCACCAGGGTGCTGAGGAGGATTCTAGCTTTCTGCAATCCTCTTCAGATTTTGTGCCTTTAGCTGTGTGTGCTGTTTGTTGTTTTACACCATGTCAGTTCCTGGGGAGTTTTGTGGTAACTTTGGGTTGCAATGCAGTGTTGCAAATCTGTGTGCAGACACTGTGGATTTCTATAAATGGAACACTTTTACCTGGAAAGATGACTCTAAGTTGCAGCCTAATTACAGTGATTTCCTTTGAGTGCATTGACAGATTTTGAGTACCCAGGATGTTGTGACAGGAGCACTGTGAGATACCATAACAGACCTTTGGTTTGGTGTGTGTCTCCCTTTCTCTAATATTTGTGTAAAATGTGTCATTAATTTATTCTTGGAAGTTGCATTGCTTGCATTAAGCTTCTTCAACATGTACAAAGAGATTATGCTAGCTTGAGGATTTAGTTTACTGTTTAGTTTACTGTTCTTTATCAGTTGTCCCAATTGATTTAGGCTGTAGTGCTCCTTCTAGACACTTTTGTGCATTGTGTTTAAAATTTTGGATGTTCTTTGAAATATTAGCATAAGCAGCAGTGTAGCATAAAGGGGCAGATGTTACTTTTGAAGCAGTAAAAATGGTACCTGTTTTCAGTTGGTCTTCAGACTTTTTTGTATTAAACCCCATTTTATTTATCATGCAATTTAACACAGGAGGAACTTAGGCAAATTTCAAGTACAAATTTAAAACCCCATTTTGGGAAACTTGATACAAAGAGTTAATATTAAGCTTCTATAAATCGGCATTTGAAAGTTAACAAATGACAGATTTTAATTACTTATTTAACTACGATTAGGCTTTCTTAGGAATGTGTAATATGATACAATGTATAATGGGACAATTGTACTTTGTATTTGCTGAAGAGGAGTCGGGCTTAGTTATGTGCACCAGACAGGTGGTGCGTGATAATTGTTCTGATTTTATTTCCTGAATTACAATGCAGTGTGTGACCTTGTAAATTTCCTTAAGATTGATATGATTATGCTGATGTCCCCAAAGGCAAAACTAAGTCAGTTGTGTTAATTTTGGGGTCCTTACTAAACAAAGACTATTGATTTTGTATGTTATCTTCTTATGAAATTTTTTTCACTTTTCTTGTGACCAGTGCCTTTCATCTGTTTAATAGTGACTCCCTAGCTTCAGCAGTGAAATTAATCTTTGTTCTGCTCTTTGTGCTAGAGGAGGTATGAAACTAAGCTGGTCCCGACACCTGACACCCTTGCAGTCTCTTCAGAGACTGGTTTTAGTAAACAACACCTGAGTTTAATAATGGAAACAAACAAAATTGTTGTAGAGTACGGTGGAAAACACTTGATCTGCTTATTTGCTGCTTGTGTGGTTTGTTCATTTAATGTTTTAGAAGATGCCTGTGCCTATCATTGTCATGGATGAATTTGAATGGTAACTGTGTAAAGTGGTTTACTGTGTAAACTGGTCAGCCTGACACTTGGATGTTTGTGTATTTAGCTGCTAAAGTAAATGCATAGCTAAATTATATTGTTTATATGTACATCCAACCTCTACAAGAAAGGAGGCTAAACTTCAAAATAGACTGAAAGATACACATAAATGTTTCTCTTAATGTTCCCTAAACATTAAATGTTCTTCACTTAATGGTAAATCTGTCCTCCTGGAGTGATGCCTCAGTGAGTACTGTGAGATTATTTTCCTTCCTGTGTGACTCTACACCTTGCCAAAATACAAAGGGGAATAGGAAATAATTAATTCTCTAAGGCTTATCTTTACTGTGACAAGAATAGATTGAATTTCGCTAATGTGAACTAATTAACATTGAATTAAGTTCAACTACTTCTATTCAAGACAAACCTCCAGTGATTGCTACCCCTCTCTCATCCTTTTAATGAGTATCATGACTGGCTACTCTTCCCCAAGCCTTGTTTCATGTTGGTTTCAGAATATTGTGAGTTCTCAGAGCAGCAGCAAAATACAAAAATAAGGGGTGTAATGCTGAATGCAGGAGAGCCCTTGAGTTCTGGTGATCGTTGGGAGTATATGAGCAGGGTTTAGGACAGAGGTAAGATTTCCTTTTTCTCTTTCCTGGTGTTTGTAATGCAGCTTCAGTCTCTGAGGTAGTGGTAAGAGACGTGTGCCGTCCCTGCACGTTCTTCCCAGGCAGGCAGTAGCGGTGGATTCCACAGCTCTCTGGTGAAGTGTTGAGTTGCAGGGAGGTGTGCTGAGCACGTAGAACTGATAATGATGTGGGAGACAAACAAGGAAATAAATAGTTTGTAATCCGGTTTGGCTGTCCTGAACATTCTAGAAGGAATTTACAGGAGCAAATAATTTTACTGCTGTTCTTTGTGTTTCTGGACACTTAGTTTGTCAGGGGATTCTTGCATTGTAGTGATGCAGTGGTAGTGATAGGAGCAGGCTTCAAAGGTCTGAGACATGCATTGCAGCCTCTTTCCTAGTAACTTCCCATCCTATTCCTTCCCTGATGCATTTGGCTCTGAGGAAGGAAGATGTTATCTGTACCAGTGAGAAGATCCAGCTCCTAGGAGGGTGCACTGTTGTCTTTGAAAAGTGTGGTGGGAGATGGAGTGTTGCTGACAGGGCCTCCTAGGTTTGCTTTAGCGGCTAGGAAGAACGCGTTTTTATGTGTAACAAAGTTACTAGTGATGTTTGTTACTTAACCTAACTTTTGCAACTTCAAATGAATTGGAAGGAAGGAATGATTCTATTAAAAAGCATCCTGCCAATGGAAATACTGGATTTATTCCCCCAAGGCAGCTTTTGCTTTTTCCTTCTCTCTCAAAGTATTGAAATGTACTTGAGACAAGGACAGTGTGATTCTCTTTTCTTGTTCTCTATTGTGTTTCTCTCTACATTAGCATTGAACTAATTTAAAGAAATATATACTCTGCATGAAGTAGTTTTGCCAAAACCCACGTTAATACAATTTGAGCTTGTCAGTTTGAATGTGGTTTTTGAAACATCTCCAGGTATGTTCTGTTGATGTCTCCTTAAAAAAATCAACTCACTATCCTGTCATCTGTTGCTCTGTGTTATTTTCAACTCTAATTCTGGCAAGACAGGCAAAGAGATAAAGCTTTGGGAAGAGAATTTCCGAAGGTATTTCAGGACCCTTATCCTCCTTTTTTTTTTTTTTTTTTTTTTTTTTAATGTCTGTTTCCAAGGGAACTGCGGAGACATAAACAGGCAAAACTGACTCACTTCTGGTTGCAGGTTTTTAATCTGCTTGCATTTCCATGGAAACCAGTCATGCAGCAAAAAAGGCTGAATTAATCAAAAGCAATCAAACCTTTATTATCAATAGAAATACTGTTTTTTCTCTTTCAAAGTGAAATGGTAGTTTTGTCTATTCTTGTGTTAAGGTCTAATAGTGTACTGAGAAAATGGATCTTCTTGCAAGGGTTTGGAAAATGTGTACTCTTTCTCAGGTGGCTAAATCCTCATGGGTGTGTGGTGGCACCCAGGGTGGGTGGGTATGATTGTTGTGTCTTGGGTTCCTGGGAGTGCCATTTGTTCTGCGTCAAGGGAATGGA